CCAACAGAATCTGAGGGGGGCACTGAGGGGTACGATCCAGATGCTGGGGTGGTCTCTCCTAAGGAGGCCTCCTCCTGTGGTATGGGGTGATGTTCAAAGAACTTGGAGACAAACAGCAAACTGTGAGGCAAGAACAAAACAAAAACAACCTAACTTGTGCAAAACCCAGAGGCTTCACAATATAACACCCAAAGATTGAAAAAAAATTTTAAAAACCCCTCACTGATAAAATTCTAAATTTTAAAATGAAGATTACACCAACACATTAATCTGCAAGATTTGGTAAAGATATTATTAGCTTGACAAAGGATCAAAAGATCATGCCTTAAACATACCTTTCCAGAAAGTAATTTGTAAAAATCTTTTAGTTGAAATTGCAAACCTCTGATTCCTCAAGAATACACAACTTATACCTTGTTGAGTACATGAACTTATTTTTATGTTTGCACTAATGCAATGCCAAAAACCAAATGGATGGAGCTGTTATCCTTAAGCCCTGAGCACAAACTCTAGAGGTGCCCAAGGAAACAGTTACAAATACCAACACAAGCAGAAATTAAATTTATTCTTGGAGGAAAAACAAACATTTTAAATGACTCCTGGTATGAAAGTCTATTTAAAAAGCTTAATAGCTTCCACTGAAACCAATCAAATAGAACACAGAGCCAGTTTACACCAGATCCTTAATCTACATCAAAGACTTGCACAAATAGATCAGTAATTAAATTCAAGAACACATGACTGTTTGGGACTCGCTCTTTTATGTTTCTTACCTAGGCATCAAACCCACTAATGGATTTATTTTCCATTGCCATAAAAAAACCTGCAATTCCATCATATTAAACTAGTATCTCTTAATTTTTTCTGGTTGAAAAGAATAAACTTGCATCTAAACCCTCATCTAAACATTTAAGGGCCCTAGACATCACATTATAAAAAAACCCGTTCTGATTAAGAATAACAACTGTGAACAATGAGATGTCTGTCTGATACAGTCAAGTGCTCAGCAATCCCATTCATGCTTCAAAGAAAGCACTTCACAGTCTAGCAGAAAAATATGAACTAGTTGTCTGAGTTAGCACAGAGAAAATGAGAGTCATGCAGTCTCACAAGAACAGTTGAACTGTATTTTTCTCAGGCACCTCCTCTGACTTCCTGAATTACAGATTTAATGTAAGAAATCACCGTCATCTGTAAGTTTAATAAGAGGCTCAACTTTAAAACCAATCGTGATTACTTACTCAAGTTGGTCATAATTAACACACATCAGTGGCACTTCTGTACTACAGCGCTGGTGAAATTTGTAGCCACAGGTCTGGCACCGGAATCCCTGGAAAAGCAGCTTTCGACAAAAGTCGCAGAACGCCAACGTGAAGAATGTTTTTCGTACCTACATTGTCAAAAATAACCATCATTAAATAGAGTCCTTCTGTAAGTCTAAGACAGGCTATTTGCTTTTACCTCCCTTAAATACACTTAAAAGCCTCTTTTGTGATGCTGGAGCTACAGTTTTCTATATCAAACAGATCTACATAAAAGATTGTCTGCTTTTTGAAATAGTCTTCCTTAAAATTTTCTTTCACCTATTTATTGGAATTAAAGTTTCACTTCATTAGCAGGAAGAAAACCAGCAAGCAATCTGAAGCAAAACAGCGTTACAGACAAACATTCAGAATTTAACTGGATGCAACCTGTAAAAACAAAAGCTGCTGAAAGATGTTATCATCTTATAATTTTTCCAGGAGCCGAATGACATTTCTAACCAACACTCAGCCTGGAAACACACATATGGCTTATATATATATATATGTATGTATGGTTACACATATAGTTGCAATTTTGACTACTGAAAACTCCAAAACATTTAAAATCGCAAAAAGGTCAACCTATAGTTACCCACATACTATAAGGAGGAGAAAATGATTTAGTTTCATTTTCAAATTTAGCAACACTTGGCATAAAAACACATTCTAGTTGAATTCCTACATGTAACAACCAAAATTTCAGAAGGATATTAAAAAAATGTTAAGCCTACTAGACTTCCATCTAACTAGTCATAGCCAAACTAGCTTGTTCGAATAAAATATTTTAAGCAGCTTGCAAATACAATTTTGGTTTGGTTTGGTTTTTATCAAAATAAAAGGCCTGTCCTCTCAACATGACAAACATTATTTCCAGGATTTTGTATGTAGCTAGGACGGTTCAGATGGATTCTGTTTAGCAGCTTCCATTTACTTGGTGCCTTATCAGGTCAAAACATATTTGTGCACCAGCATCACTGATGATGTCAGCACCGCTCTGGGAATAGTTAGTTCATTAGTTAATTGCTGCTGCAGAGCCAGCAGGGAGGCCCAGAATACATTTTATAGATACAGCAATACAAAAATAGTAGATTATTATTACAGCTCTGCAATGCAGTGCTGATTTACCCCCCCCACATTTATAGATTTGAGAGGGTGTACTCCACTCAACTGTACAAGTTTTAAGGGTAATCAAGTACTCTAACACCACTTATTTCAATTACAATTGTATCTAATTCACTTAAGCTACTGTGATTGAAAACTTCTCTTGCAACCCCCACCACATCCCACAGATAAAAAAACATTATTCAAAGTTGTTAATTTGAATCTGAAAGTACAAAATCAATTTAACCTTACTCAACATTTCACCAAAACCAGTACGTACAAAATTGTGTGTCGTGAGTGGCACATTCTCCAAGACTTCCACGTGCAACTCCTCTCCCGTGAGCCAGGAGATGTCAGTGTCCCAGCCGATTGGCTTCTTCTCTCTAAAGTGTAAATAAGCCTTTCATTAGCAC